TATTCCTTACTATACTCCAGCAAATTATCAAACATAATCAAGATTAGTGGAAAATTGCCCTTACAATGAGCCACAGCATATTTTCTTTCCACATAACAAGAAAAAACAAATCCATTTTAGGTTTTTTGCTTTTGTGAATTCAAAAGTGAACATGTTCTTAATTTGATTATTTTCCCTAAATTGACTTGATAGAGAGCGTGTCATCTGCTGTGATAATCCAGGCGTTACCAGTGTGTGTGTGTGTGTGTGTGTGTGTGTGTGTGTGGTCAGCAGAGTCTGTAATAATTAACTATCTAATCAGACCTGACCTTGTCTTCAATTCTACAACTAACCGTCATAAAATGAACACCCAAGGCATCTTTTGATGACGCATAGCAGATAGGCTTGTTAAAACATGAGCTGATAAGGCCCACAAAGACTCAATGTTCAAAACACACACACACACACACACACACACACACACACACACACACCTGATTTATTGGTGTGTTTCTTTTTACTCTTCTCTCTTCTTTTCTTGTGCTTTCTGCCCCCCCACTCCTGTTCTTTAATTTTGCCTTTTGCCTGCAATTCTGCCTGAGACCTGATCATCTTGTTGTCCACTATTTTGATACAGTTTGAACATTTATTTTAAGAGGGGGAAATATAGATTTATCTTGATTTGACCTTCTTAAATATGTATCTTTTCTGGTTTCTTTGCTCAATCTATCATCAAATGAAAGGACAATAAAAACTAAACATTTGAGGACAAGATCTAAGGCTTTATAGAAAACACTTCCTCTCCGTTTTTAACATTTTATGAACCAAATCAATTCAACTTATTGAGAAGACAAAACATTTATCGAGAAGAATGAGTCATCTTAAGATGTAGCCTTCCTGTATTTCATTGCTCACATCAGCTTTGACTAATAACTTCTTCCAAAGGAAAATCCTCAGCTTAAATTCTAAATAAATCATGCTTCACAACAGCTGCTGAGGCAAACTTCAGACTGAGTCATATCTGTTTTTCTCTCCTTCCCCCGAGTGATTTCTTTAGAAGTGACATAGAGGTCAGTCAGGCGGACAGTCAAAGTAGATTTAGGTCCTGCTCTGCAAATATTTGCAGATCAAACAGCTTCAGATGCTGATGGATAAGACGGAGTACGAGCAGCTCGGAGCTGGAGCAGCACGCCATCTAATGGACAAAAAAGAGAACAGTTGTGTCTTTTTCCTTTTGCTCTTTTTTAAATTGATGACATTAGCGGAATCCTAACATCAGAGAAACCGATCTGCCAGAACAACGTTTACCCCGAGGAGCCTGATAACTCTCTGCAGATTTATGTAACTGTTCTGTATGTGTAACATAATCACAGTAGGTATACTCATTAGCCTACAACTCTGTGTGTGTGTGTGTGTGTGTGTGTGTGTGTGTGTGTGTGTTTTGTGTTTTGTGTGTTTTTTGTGTTTTGTGTTTGTGTGTGTGTGTGTGTTATATGAAGACAGAATAAAGGAAACAGATATGGAGGAAGGAAGGAGATAAAGACAGCAAGAGGGAACGCATAAATATTTTGAGGAAATACATTCCATGTTGGTTTGCTCATGATGCTGAATTATTATTCCAGCACTTCAGCAGACACAGCGCTGCTCACATTACATTGCAACACTATTGTGATTGGAAACTTCTGCTACTGTAGGCTCCTGGACATGTGCTGCTTTGATCTCCAGATAAACATTAAGGATAGGCTTACTATACAAATATAACAACAGGGCGAGTCTATGTGGGAGAAGCCCACTTAATGCACACCCAGTACAATGACAAACTTATTATACAGGAATAGTATAATACGACTTTTTAAAGCTTTTAAGGAAGTTAAAACATAGAGGCTTATAGAATGAGGTTATAGTGTCGCTTCACTGTTTAAAAGTGGAAGATATGTTAACCAATTTGTTCCCATAGGTTTTGTATGGGAGTAGCGAAATGAGGGACTCAGATGTATGAACAGCCTCATTGTTGTCATTTTAACTTTTTTTTTTTTTTAAATAGAAACAATGACATCTTTAGACCTTTTTTTTGTCCACATGTAGACAACTTCACGAATACAAAAGTGCAGTCTTGAGGTAAAGTTTAAAAACGGATTTTCACTCACCACCACCAACAACCGGCCGTCGTCTCTCGCGGGGTTTGTACTTTCAGGTAAATTCCTTAAGAACCCGTCTTGGGCGTCAGTCAGGTAATACTGCTACAGTCATCTCTTTTTTTTTCCATTTTTATTGCTGCAGGTCAATCAGTTTAGTTAGACTTCAAACTCTTCAAGATGCAGCGCTTCGTGCCCCGCCGTCACTGTGACGTCGACGCCCGGGTCATGTGACAGGAAGTGTAGCCCTGGGACGTAAACAACCGTACTGAAAAAAAACACTTTCCAGCCACGAGTTTTACGTGTCTTAATTTCACCACTTTATCATGCTTTGCAACATATAGCCATCTAGATTAAAAAGCAAAAAAAAGTTATCCAAAATAAATCCCATTTTTTATTGTATTGGAACAGAAAACAAAGTAGGGTTTTTTTTTTTTGGCATACAATAATAAAGGGTCCATAAAAGAGAAGACAAAACAGAAACCAATACAGTAGTTCATTTGGACCAGCGGTTTTTTTCTGCCTCCTTTCTGCCCTCTTGAACTGTCATTGCCACATGCCCTTCAATCTGGCCATCCTCTTCAAAGTCCCTGTTCCTCTTCTGCCCTTCCACTTAAACAGTTCTGCCTCCTGATCTCTACCCTGGGTGTCCCTCCTCCAGACACTCACCACCCACCCTGCTTGGTGATTCCTGGAACACAGGGACATCTGAAATCCATCACCAGGTAATGTGGGCCCCTACCCCATAAAAAGATATCACAACTGCTCTAACCACACCCCTATTATGCAAACAAACATTATAAGCTTTAATAAATATACATTTGTCTGAATATGTACCCTCTGCTAAACTGATCTCTAACCTGAACACTCTCTTCTCACTCTTGACATGTAAGCAAATGATCACAGCCAAGTTATTATGTTTAAAGACCACAATACAACGTAAAATAATGGAGAATAAAATATAAACTGAATTGCAGTTTAAATAAGGCTATACAAATAATAATGAATTAAACGCTAAAAGCACCTTTGTGTCATCTGTGTCGTCTTTAAGCATGTCAAAGGGAGTTTTTTTTTTTTTTTTTTCATATTTTAGATTTAAAAATCCTCATGAAATTATGATCTTTCAACCCTACCACAGATTTCAAGAACCTATTTCAACCATTTCGTAGAAAGAGAGGGGGGAGTTTAGCAATACAGAGGTTGCCTGAATGTTACTTTTTTTGCAATACAAAAAAATAATAAAAAGATAAATCAAACATATATCTCTTTATGGTGTGAAGAGAGGCTTCTCTTATGGAAATAGGTTCATCATTTGATATGGGGGGAAAAACGAACGTTTTGTTTTTTTAAAGATTTATTTTTGGGCTTTTTGGGCCTTTAATGGAGAGATAGGACAGTGGATAGAGCTGGAAATGAGGGATAGAGAGTAGGGAATGACATGCGGGAAAGGAGCCACAGGCTGGATTCGAGCCCGGGCCGCCCGCCTGGAGGACCACAGCCTCCATACATGGGGAGCGCGCACTAACCACTGCGCCACCAGTGCACCAAAATGAATGTTTTTAATATGTTTAGAGCCCCTGTCAGTCATGAGCCCTTCGAATCCTCCCTATTTTTCTCCCCCATTCGGCGCTCCTGCCCATGTGTTTCTCAGTTCCCTGTGTGTATATCTACTGTCATATTCCTGAGTCTAGTAATAGTTGTGTTTGCTGTTTAATTTTGTAGTTCTTGTCCTCTGTGTTACATTTTAGTTTGAATTCCTGCCTTTGTGTGTTTCCCGCCATTGTGATTGTGTGCCCCGCCCTCATTGTTTCGCCTAGGTCATTAGTCTCACCTTACCCCAGGGTGTATTAAGGCTGTTTTTGAAACCGACTACATCATACAACCATTAAAGGGATACTTCACCCGTTGAAACATGAATCTGTATTGACATTGGGTCATATATGTAGTAGAAATGTGAAATACATTTTCAACTTCTTGGCTGAGAAAAGACAGATGTGTCTTTTTGGCTCATGTGGATGAAAGACACCAAATCCCAGAATGAACAGCACAGCAGGCCACTCCCACTAAGGTCAGAATCAGAATCAGAAATACTTTATTAATCCCAGAGGGAAATTTGATCGTTACAGTTTCTCCCAAATATACAATATAGCAGTAGAAATAATTCTGGGAGTGAGTTCCCACCCACTGAACTGTGATTGGTCTGTAGCTTCAGTGGTCGAAAATATGAGGAACTAGCGTTGTAGTTTCACACTGCTAACCGCAACAGCTTCCAGTGACGATATTTGCGTCACTGGAAGCTCCTTTTCAGACTTAGAAATACAGAATACTGCTTACTGTATGCCAAGTTTAACAGTAGAATATAGTAACTGCCAATCTGTGGTTTTTGCAGTATACCAGTCCCAGTTAAGCTGGTTTCTGGATTTCCCCTGTTATGATAGCTGTTGCTGTCCCTTATTTTGATCTTTGAAATGGCGCTTTGGATTGTTATTCATCCGATTCTAAGTGAAAATCAAATTTGCAACCATCCAATAATCAGAACTTTAACATACTTTTCACTTTTAATAGGATTTTCAGAAACTTGGCCTGTGTGTCAGACATCTGTCTTCCCACCCCCCTTATGATCTTTTTGGACTGGAAACGTGTCTCTGTAGTGTTGTTAGACTCACAGACATTCTTATCAGGACACACATTCATCCTGACCTTTTAGGGTAATCTTCACCATCAAACACCGCAGACAACACGATTTATCTCTAGAGTCTGACTCATCTGTCATGGGAAACTATGTGATCAAGTGTTCCCTACAAAACCAAACATAACAGATTACTGGTGCTGCTGTTGTCTAAGCCCATGCATCAACTACAATAAGGAAAAATAAAACACAACTCATTTCATGTGAATATTTAATTTATTTTATTGAAAACATACATCTCAAATGTAAAAAGAATGGGCTGCTTTAAATAATAGTTACCCACAAAAAAAAAAAACATGATTATCTCCATCCCTGAGTTAAAACACGATGCACTGGAGCGAAATGACTTTGTCCAAAAACGTTGACAGAAGTCTGTATATTTAATTCTTGATTACAAACACAAACCTGCCCACAAAAAAACAGAATAGAAATCACTTTGAATTTCTCTTCCAATGTAATGTTTTCACACATAACCCTTGAAAGAATCTTATCTGCTTTGTGAAACGGCGCTCTAATTAATTAGTTTCACTTGTTGTCACTTCTGGTAACCTACAACGTATACAGCTATGATTATACTTCTGCAGCCAAAAGCTGTTAGTTGGGTTTATTTCAATCTGCGCTGCGGGTCTCCGACCAGAGAGGACCTTACGTAAATATCTTATATGGCAATAAAAAACACAATGAAAAAAAATCACAAAAACCTGTTCATTCTCATTACAGCTATGTTACTATTTATACAACAACAGCCCAAAAGAGACATTTATAGATGCAGATAACATTCATTTTAACCAATTTACACTTTAAGTTGATCCCAGGTCTGCAAATGTACCCAAATCATGAAATTATAATGTGTTGTTTTCTTAATACGTCACTTGTTAAGTGCAAGAGTGCAGTAATGAAGTGTGTGCTTAGAAGGAGGAATAGTATGTGGGAAAAAATGTACATTTGTGTGTTTTAGGCTGCGTGTCCTTTCAACAGAAACCACAGAGGAAGAGTTAGTGCAACAGTTGATTGAGCATCAGAGGCAAAATCAGCAGAATTCAAAGCAGCCACATAAGCATGTCAAAGCTGAGACTGAAATATTTCACTCTGACAAAATCACAAGATAGGACTCCTCCTGGACTGTGGCGTCTGAAATACCAGAAACCTCTTCTGTCATTTAGAGTAATGGGCAAATGGAGACTCTTCGGTCACTTTGCCCTGGAGGAAAAAAAGACAGGAAACAGCAAAGGGATTAAAAGAAAATTCAGGATAACCTGTGTTCTGATGTACACAATTATAAAAGAATCACTTATCTGCTCTCTATTTTAACCCATTTTTAACCCAAGTTGGAAAGATCTGTCATGAACTGAACTTATTTTTACTAAGGGACTGACAGCGTAAATACACACACATTTCCCAAGACAGAAATGTTCTGGTTTGTGACTGGACAGAATCAAACTCATACAGACCTCTTATATAAAACCAAAACAAGATCTAGTGAGAGATATAACACTGACTTTGCCAGCCATTTACGACTTTGTCTTGACCTTCACAAAAGGTCAACATGTTTTTGGCTTTTATATTCTTATTTAGATCTTTTCAGCAGTGTCAGTGCATGTGTTGTTTTGAGCTAGGTTTGAAAGGATGGAAGAAGAGACTGAAATAATGAGGGTACATTTTAAAGACACTAGTGTTTTGTATGCACGCATGCTTTTAACGAGCATATAAAAGTGTTTATTTCAGGCCTGAAACACATGTCCATGCAGATGTTAACGTGGTTAACATTAAACTAGAATATGTGTTTAAGTCTGCAGCTCCACATGTGTGTCGTATATCAAACCCACAAGTTATTTTCTTATCATCCCCAGCCTGCAAAATCAGCAGTTGTGGCATTTGGTCCCACATGTTGTCCGCCATGCACTGTTCATGTTGCTGCGTAAACAATGTCCTAATCCAACACCTTACACCTTTACAGCAGCTACTTGAGCCCTACTTTACATTAGAGCCCAAGTACCTTATGTTTATTTCAAATTACAGATAGCCAGGGAGAATAGTTATAATCTATAATAAAGTGTTCTGCTGAAACCTGGTTACATTTTCACCTGAAATGATATGCAGAGACTCAAGGACACTGAGCATGTGTGAATACCTATTGATAAACTGATGGCGATGTAATTATACGTTTTTATTTCTGAAGAAAGTGCTCAGTCATTCCACTGACTGCTCTGTTTCTAAGTCTTTTCACACATTCAGACTTCCTGTTTGTGTAAAAGAGAGAGAGAGCAGAAAACCACTGTGCTCACTGCTGAGGAAGAAAGAGGAAGACATGACGCATGTCTGATGAAAACATTTTCAAATGCCAGCCTTTATTCACTGCCAGGGTTTGACAGTTCATTTCTCTGTGGACGAAGCCAATGAAATGATTCCAGAGGCATGGCTTTGACCACATAACATCAACAAGCATGTACCTGTTTGTTGTCTTATACTAGTCTATTAATTAGCAAACTTAATGCTTACCAGCTCTAAACACAAAGTTCAATTGAGGCTGATTAGACTTTTATTAGTTTTGAAGGTATTAGTTGAAAAACAACAGTATTGGACAAAGATGAATGGCTAAATAAAATAAAAAGTTTATGTGGCATCAAAGAAATAATTCCCCTGCAAGAGATCTTGAATATCTTGAGAAAAAAAAAACCTATTGTTGTTTAGATATTTGATTCTGTATTATTAATGTGGAAAAAAGCCTGTCCTTCTCCTTCTGTTGTACAAAATAGAAGCCAAAATAACCCAGCGGCGGGCGCTGACATATTGCACTGGTGATGCCCATGTCGTTCTCCAAAGCACACATTTAACTTACGAATCAAATGTCAAAGATCTCTCTGGTAGCTACAGTCCATAGAAGAACAGATTCTTGTGTTGGTTTGAAGCAGACGCTCGTGTTTATGGAGTTAGTAAGTTAACTGATTGTAGCGTTCATCTTTGTTCTCTCTCGCCTTTCCTCATCTACTCAAATTATGCGGTAAAGAATGCTGCAGGAGCCGCATTTGTCATCAGAGCTGTCCATCATGCTTATATTCGCTATATTTTACGTCTAATAACTAATTTAAAGGGAAGAAAAATGAACACTTGGACATAAATAAGTATGATAATATGAATATAATAACAGAACCCAGTTTTGAGAAAACATTTTTTATGTGTATTTAATTTTATTTTAAATTTCTAATATGTCCCGTATATTAACATGGATGAGGCAGGCTTCCTGCATCTTATCTCCCCCTATCCCTTTTGTAACATAACTATAAGTAAGGTCTTTTACCTGCTCTTTTGTAAAGTGTCTTGAGATAATATTTGTTAGGAATTGGTGCTATACAAATAAGGGATTGATTGATTGATTGATTGATTGATTTACAAGCTATACTACAGCCAGTCTGCACTATTGTTCCATCTATCTTAATGTGTTTTGTGCCAAGTTTGTAGAAAGTATTAAAACTGTGACAAACCTTAAGTTCAGTTATTTATTTCTAACTCACCAGAGGAACATTTTCAAGCCTCTCAAATTTGGACCGTGGTAATTCAATACATTTCATTGTAGCAACCACCAGCCCCAGGACGAAGACGATACAGAAGATGCAGAGGACAGCAACAAGACCAGGATTTGCTGCCAAGTCCTCTTTAGTCCATTCGTCTAGAGGACCTGAAGAAAAACAAAACAGTCACCTTTCAGACAAATCAAAAAATCGGCCTCTGTGCAAATGTCTAAAAATAGGATTTGCAAGCTTGACATTTGCCAGCAGAGGGCCCCAAAGTGCAAAATGTGTTACAAGCTAACACCAGCATCAGCCAAGTTACATGAAAAATAAACTGCCATTATGAATGAATGGACCAATATGTAAGATATCTCCTGAATTAAATCATACTATGTCCTCTATCCTGAATGAAATACTAAAACATCAGACAGGAATATGCTAAATTGAATTACTGGCTTCTCTCATAACTGTATAGCAGCCAGTATGTCCTCCTTCTAAGTTTCGATTCTGGTCCAGAATGGTCTGGTTTGTGTGGTTTAATTACCAGTAAAAAGAATTTTAACAACCACAAATGGACTATTGCTAAGTTATTTTTTTGTACATAGTACATCACATAATTATAACCTGACTCAAAGAAAATAAAGAACCCTCTAGCCCTCAGCCCTTACAGAAGTCTGACCTAGGACTGTGGTGTTTACTGTGGTGGCTGTCGTAATGTCCGGGGCTGTTGATGCTGGTGTTGCTGTGGATCCAGGGGGAACTGTCTTTTTGGACGTCTGGTTGGTCGTTGCATTCTTAGGAGGAGAGCTTGTTTGTGGTCCCTCTGTCCTGCTGGGTGTTTGAGTGGAAATTGAAGGTGGAGGTGATGTTGACACTTTTCCTGAAGTGACTGCAGTTGTCGTCTGGTCTGTTGACATTGTAGATTGCTGTGTGCTCTTGGTGGCATAGCAGTGGATAAAGGGAACTCCTCTTTCTCTGTAAATTCAAAATGACTGGGTTTGCAGCAGTTGTGGTTATCTTTGTGATCTGTTCAGCTGGAGAGGAAGTGGTTGTACCTGCAGTGGTAGTGGTGGTGCCTGCAGAGGAACAAATAGAAATACTATGTGAGATGCATTGCAAGGTCAGTGGTGAGGGGCTTTGCTTGTTTTTTAAGACTTTTAACAAGTTAGAGTGGTGGACTCAAGATGTCTGTAGGTCAATCAAAGTTAAGAGTGGCCTACCTTTTGCATATGATGGGGCACCAGTGCTCAGAGAGTTGTATTGTTTTATCTTGAAATAGGTTCAAACATTAGAGGCCTGTTGCTGTAAATTTAATCCACTAAATTTGGATTTTATGGTCAGCTACTGATCAAATTATGGGGATATTTGATCCCCAGTTGTATGTTGCTTTAGAATTACTTTGTTGAATTGTGATTTTTCAGTCGTCAAGTTATTTTACAGGAACATAGCAATAATATTCACTGTGATACAGAAAAGCTGAAAAATGTAACTATTTACTTGGTCAGAAAAGAGGCAGTTAGATGAAGTCTCAAATCTGAGCTGTTGAATTACTTTTCTTATTTTGTACGCACAGCCCATCAGTGCTTGTGGGCCAAACCATCTTAAAAGTCAACGTTTGCAACTCGAGGATTATTTAACTAACATCTGCTGCCGTTATCCTAAAAGACTTTTCAACATGAATAAAAAGAGATATATTATGTTTCTAAGGTTGCGACTGTATTGCCCAATCCAGGAAATGATATGTATCTTGCTTGTTTGTAAACAGGAAGTGTATGCATTCACATCTTATTCTGAGATGTTAGCTAAAAAAAACAAGGCCTGAGAGTCTTATATTAATTTTTATTTTAAATCTGCCAATGGGACGTACACATTTGACTATTTCAAGTTTCTTGAAATATATTACGTCTAATTTATTTATTGTACTTCTAAAAGGCAATCCAGGCCTTATGTTTCCCTTGTTATATCTTGAAATAAGATGTTAATGAGGATGGCTAATGATGAGTGTAATGAGAAGTTTTTGACTCAGACAAATACACCTGCTTGAGTTTCAGTTTCTTCCATTTGTATGTTTTACTCCCATACATTTTTCTGATAACTTACACTACATCATTCTTCTATTGTTTCTAATAAGAAGAAGCTCACAGCCTGCAGCAGCCTGAATAATGTAACAAACCTCCATCTTCACTCATGGGAACCCTCAAGCGCTTCACACATAAATGCATCAGGAAGCGTTATACGATCAGGTGATATAATTCTGATTCAGGTTTGTTGAGGGTGTGGTAAATTAATCTAAGGCATTTTGCATTGGCAGATCAAAGCATTATTAATGTGACATTTTGATAACCTTGTAGTCCTTATAAGTTTATACAGTTGAAAAACATCTCACAGTCCACTTAATAACTACCATGTGGCTATGAGTCATATATCACTAATATGAGACATACATGTATTAATGATTTGATCAAAGCTCCAGGATAGCACTAAATAAACCCTGACTGATACTGAGACTGATTTTCACTGCAGTAAAAGGCGTAGGTTTGAACTTTCAGGCACGACTTCATAACCAAAATGAAAGCAAAGTTACCGTAGAAGAAACTCATAAAAGCATCCACAATCTTTGAATAAACTGCACCTGCTGATGGAGATATTGTCTGATGAAATAAAAGGTCCATAGAGCTTCTGAGGTGGGATTGTTTATGCGACTGATGAAGCTTTTTTTTTTTTCATTGTGTCCTTGAGCCGAGGTTCACTTTCAGGTTCATTTTCTGGACTGTTGACTCTGCCGCGTGTTTAATAAAGCAGCATTATTAACAGTCTGTCAGAGCAAGGAATGATTTGTTTTTACTGGTGAAGCAGTTGTGTTTGGTGTGTTTGTGTGTGTGTGTGTGTGTGTGTGTGTGTGTGTGTGTGTGTGTGTGTGTGTGTGTGTGTGTGTGTGTGTGTGTGTGTGTGTGTTTGTATGCTTGTGTATGTACCCATGTGTGTTCATTAGCTGTGTTTTGCAGAAGTAGCAGACACCACAGTATAGCTTTAGTTCATAATGCTCACTGATACTGAGTGTGTGTGTGTGTGTGTGTGTGTGTGTGTGTGTGTGTGTGTGTGTGTGTGTGTGTGTGTGTGTGTGTGTGTGTGTGTGTGTGTGTTTGTATGCTTGTGTATGTAGCCATGTGTGTTCATTAGCTGTGTTTGCAGAAGTAGCAGACACCACAGTATAGCTTTAGTTCATAATGCTCACTGATTCAATATTTGCTTTCATTTCCACCCAGACATGACCTTCCCAGTTACCTTATGATTTACTAAAAGCAGTTAATGTTCCCATAAAACAACCTGTAATACACACAGTTTTGATAGACATGATAACTTTTGTATACAATAACAGAAACAGGAAAAGCATATTGCATGAACATAAAGGTTTCTGTGAGGCAAACTTTTGATACAAACCAGCCCCTCAAATTTTCCCCTCAGTAATGTGTTGCTTTTGTAGGCATTAACATTTTAGTTTAAATACAATACAATCAAATACAAAGTTATTTCTGCATTTTGAGTAATAAAAACCACCTTAGACTACTGCACCCAAGCATGCTCAACCTCCCCCTCACTGCAGGAAGCTTCATATTTGTATAACTTTGCATCTTTTAAAGACTTTGACACAACTCTAGCTAGACGTCAAACAAATGAACACATTAGTTTAACTGTCAAAACTATGAAATGTTGACTTACCTGTACAGACAGTCACTGCAAGCAGGGACACCAGCACAGTGAGGTGCATCGCTGCAGGCATGTTGAGGGAGAAAAAGGCTGGCGGTCATATTGACAACTTTCAAATACACGCGCAGGCTACATCCTTGACAGCAGGATGTGTTGAGCGCCTGAGGAGGAGTGCTCTAAACGGTGGTGCGTATCAAATCCTTCAGGCTGGTTAGTCATTGTTTGAACACGGCTCTGTATTTGCTTATAACAACAGCTGAAACTTTTTAACAATGACGTCTCTAACATCATGATGATCAAAGTTTACCAAGTCAGTCCTGTTTACTTTGGTGGTGTTAATTATTCAGTGACTAAAAATACTGACATTAAAATGGTATGTGTCAGTCTCCTCCTGTCCAGTACATGTTGCAGTTAATATTTTCTTTGGTATTATTTATAAAATCCTAGTTTCCCAGATTTTTTAGAATCTCCAGACTGTTTTACTGCATGTAAGTAAATACGTTTGCCATGTTTTAAAAATGGTTGTAATTATACTTGTGCATATGGCTTTGAACAGCTGTTCAGTGACATCACACAAATTCTTCACAAAAGTGAATTCCCGTCTTCTGAATAGTGTCCTATTTGAAGTGAAGAAAAAAACCTACCCATGCATGTTAAAAAAAACCTTTAGCTACATCTGAGTTAATGTAACACACAGAGCTAGAAAATACAAAGAACTGAAACTGCAGCCGATTTAAAGAACCGAAGACACTCAATCAAATGTAAGAGAAGAGAAAATCAGATTTCTTCCCTGATAAATTCTTATTTCCTCAAAATTCACAAGAGTTTTAAAATATTCTGAGTAATAGATAGACTGTAAACTTCTCCATTGTATAATGTTACTTCAAATGTGCAATCTGTCTGTAAACAGGTCAACCCCATGTGTGCAGTACTGATACAAGCTGGATGACACTGTCGTCATTGAGCCTTAGCTACTGTTCAGCACTTTACATGTTTATCTCTAAATATTGATCATATATTCAATTCTCTGTGCTTGTTCATAGATTATTATTTATTTGGATACTCTTCACTCTGGTACTTATTGTTTATTCTATTTATTTTTTCTATTGTATTCTATATTCTACATTTACTTCTATATTGTGTTTAAGATCAACTGTAGCAAATGTCCCCCCTCAGGATTATTAAGATACTTCTGATTCTGATTCTGATGTGACTAGACAAAAAAAGACAATATTATACTTTTCTTCTATTACGATATTTTTATGAATAAGATTTAAGACTACTGTATACATGTAACCAAACTTAATTCATCAAGATACAAAGTGGGGAAACAAAGTCATCACATTCTTTTAAACTGAATTTCTTCTCATTTTATTATTATTTTATTTTGTCGTTTTAAAGTTAATTTAAATACTTAAATACTATACTCAAGAATAAAAACAATAAAACAAAATTCCTTGACAATGTATACTTGTTTTTAAAAAAGTTATACAAACATAATGCTAATGAGTTCTTCAGTATATATTCTTATAGCCTACTTGAGGTCCCTCAAAGCCATAACTCGGCATGAAAACCGACCAAAGTAGTTGTTCTCATATTGAGGCAAAGTTTATACAGCAGCTGTTTAGTAAAGCTTCTCCAAATCAATAATGACTCTCTTATGTCAAACCAGTAACACAAACATGCCGTTGATAATAAGAATTAGTAAGTTTCAATCTTTGGACTAAAAAGGAGACAAGAAGAAGCGTTTCCCTGAAGGAAAACTCAATAACTGACACAACAACTGTCATGTACGTATCTTGCTGAGATCTGGTTATTAGCAGCCGCTTCACTCATGCTTAAAACTACAAAACTTCAACAATCAGAGGTATTAACATGTCTCGCATTGTAGCTTTGAAGCTTTGTCCTCCAGAGGGTTGGATGCTGGGAGTGCTTCCTGCTGAACGTCCACAGCACTGCTGTCTGACAATACTGCAGAATGGAGACCATCATCCTGAGAACACAACAGGAACCAAAACACACCCACATATAATTAGTATCACTTATTTCTCTGCTCGTTTAAAATAAGAATTATAATTTGTGAAAAAATTAGCAGAGAAGCAGGTTAAACGGTTAAATAAAAATTCACCCATGTCAGTGGCAAGGCTTTTACATTTAGTCCTAATTAAACCAAAGACATATTACAAGCATTCTGGAGGCTGAGTTTATGTTTATGATAAATGAGAACATTTCCATGCAGTTTCAAAGTGATTGAATAGAAAATCCTGTGAAGCCCTCTAGACACAAGAATATATTGTAAAGCATTAGTTTGACACACATTACTACACATTAGAGAAGCACAATAAAAACAATAAAACCTACAAAATTATTACAGTATTTAAATTCTGTATGAGGTGTCCAAAAAGGAATCGTTTCAAAACCAAATTTAGAAAAAGATAAAAGGCGTGAAATAGGTAAATGAAAAAACAATCACAAAACACATTCTAATTATCAAAGATGTGAAAACGCAGAATGCCCCATTAATCTTCTTTGGGGTTGACTTACTCTGTGTTTGAGGTAGGACATGTAGGTGTCCCACCATAAGCTGATAAGGTTGACATACATGACACGGAATTTTGGTGAGACAAAGTAGAAGCCGATCATCTGAGTGGCAGGCCAAATACACCAGTCCGCCTGTCGTGAGGAATTAAAAAAGGTTAGCATAAACAAACCTGGACAGATTACCAAGCACAAATACTGTAAATAGTGCATGATTGGAGGGAGGAAGTCTGCTGAGCAGGTTTGGAAATCAACAGAGGACAGCAAAAAAGATGGTGAACACTGACCCACTGGGAAGGTTGTTTTTGGTCTTTCACACCCTAAACCTTTATTCTTACACTCAGCTGGTTAGAAACCAAGATTTCTATTGTACTATTCTGAAGAGGCACACATGATTTAGAGGAATCTTTGTACATAGAAAGTCTCTCAAAACACATTATGAATTATATTTAGCATTTGGTAATCTGTGCCAGGCAACAATTCTGACCACAATTTCAAAGGACCAGTAAATGGACCCAAAGAAAAACTATGAGGTTGTTTGATGCAAGCAAGGTAGTACATGTAAATGTAAATGGTTTTACAAGACTTAAAATACTTGATCATGATGCTAAGTGAATAGCGTAATGAATTAAGCGACACAAGTGAGATAACGGACCCTTATCAAATCAATCAAAAAGGGTTGGAGCACCTCACCCAGAAAAAAGAAAACTGTGGTTCCTGACCACAAAGGGGAACACTTTGAGGACATCCTGCACTGGACTTTTTGATGATGCCAGACTTCCCCCCTCCCCCCTAATCACCTTAACTGCAAAGTGCCAGGCATGGATGATGCAATAAGATGCTGACTGGCTTATATGTCTCGACCATGTGGCATGGAGGTCTAGGATAGGATAGGATAGTGGCTCCTAACACAAAAGAGTAGTAAAATGGAGAAGGCTTGAAATCTGGTCCTCATTTCCTCCAATTGATACAAGTGTTGGCACAAGTTAAGTTACATAGATTTTCAAAGCATGTTGACCTCCACAGGGGTCATATTTATGATGAGTATGGACAGGATCTCAAGAAAGAGAGGAGGAAAAATTAGGAGATTTTCCGATTTGGGGACCACAGAATTGTGTCTCCCCCTTTGCAGATGATGTGCTTCTGTTTACATGATCAGACTACAGCCTTTAGCACTCCGGGTTAGAGATATGTTGAAGAGCTCAGACATCTGGTGGATGCTCAGAGACGATCTGCTGCTCTTTACAATCAAAAGGAGCCAGATGAATTAGATTATGGTTGTTTTTCATGCATATTGAACTGGTAGTAGACCAAGAACACATTGGAGGGACTCTCAAGAGGAGCCTGAAAATGTTGCCTTGGAGAGGGACAACTGGACTACCATGCCCAGCCTTGTGGCATGGTAACCCTGCCCCAAATAAGCTGGACAAAATGTAAGGATTGATTAATTGGTGCATAGGTACCTGCAATAAACTTGTATTTAATAGTTGTTGAGAAATGTCCCCAAAGTGTCAACCCTATTCTTGCCATAAAGGAAACTAAAATGAATGACCAACATCAGCTGGGTTTATCCTCAAAGGAAAATCAATGTATTTTCAAAATTCTCCAGAAACATCCACACTGCTAGCATGGCAAAGACCGTTGGAATGGCAGCTACTTCACTGCATGAGAGGGTACACATTGTCACTTGGTTGGTTTTTGTTCTTTTCCTTTTTGGTCTTTCCAGGATAAAAACAACTAAACTGATGTGACCCTAAAACAAAAAGGTTCATTGGTTGAACGTAGTGAAGATATTTCATGTTTGGAAAGCTGAGTAGAATGATATGGCATCCAGACTGATGACTGACTAGGCTATAAAGTCATGTTAAGCCACAGTTTCAAATGTGAAAACTGAAAACGTTAAACTTTTCTCATCTGGTTGAAAAAACAAAGATTTTTGTGTAGTGATTGATAATGTAAGTACATGCACACTGATCAGATTTGCCAGATCTTTAGGTCAGATCCTAGGAGGTGTACTTGCCCTGTAAAGTTCCCAGAACTTTCCTATAAACTCGTCCCATCCATCGGATAAACTGTGTCCCTCCATGACCTCCATACCTGCATAAACACAGAAGTCTGTCAGTGTTTCATCAACACAAACACCAGATCAGATCAGAGGCTGGAGGAATGTTAAACACTCAGAATATTACTGACAATCAAGAAAATATTGTCAGACAAGTTTGTCTCTAATGTTTGAACTCCATCACCTCTTATACTAACATCTTTGGTCTCACTCCTCTCATGTCATTAAGTATGACCTCTGAATTTGTCTTGGAATCCTTCTCACCTACAAAATACATCAACGCCATCACCGGTGAAGCAAGAATCTGGTCCAACAGAACCTTCTTGCACACTGTGGTCATAGCTGTTCCGACAAACCTCTTGTCTATCCAGGCGTACCAGTAGTGCATCGGAGGACCCATGGTGCAGCCGGACACAAACATGCGACCTTAATGGGGACAGAAATAGTAGGACAGAAAAGATGCATATGTGTTAAGAAAATATAAGGTTAAGATAGTTTCGCTTTTTGGTTTTGAAAAATGAAGTTTTAACCTTTTGTATTGGTTAATAGGACAGTGAAAAGTATTGTTGGAGAAA